ATTAACTTTTACTTGTCTACCCAACGGTATGAACGGTTGCATCCAATTCTATTTGAAAAGACTATTTTACCCCTTGCAAAGTACCCTTGCCGCATTGATTTGAACCCATAAGTCTATTTTTTTTTTATATTTTGAGGCTTTATATCTTTTTTACCCGGACTCTGAATCAAGTGATTCTTAAGTCTAGATTTATTAAACTATCCTTGTCTATCTAATGGTATGCTCAGTTGCATCTAGTTTTATCTTAAAAGACCATTTTACCCCTTGTAAAGTACCCTTGACGCATTGATTTTAACTCAAAAGTTTGATTTTATGAAACTTTGAAATTTTATATCTTCTTCATTCGGACCCCGAATCAAGTGATTCTTGGGTCTAACTTGGTTAATTTTTCGCTATCTTCCCAGTGGTGTGCTCGGTAGCACCCGATTCTATATTTTTAAAAATAACTATTTTGCCCCTGGGGGCTTAATCGTTATTTTTTCGATCTCTTGCTGCCGCACTTTATTTCATTGAGTTCCACGACCTTATGGAAGGTCATCAAAGTGTCTTAGAGGTATGTTGTGCCTTGGGAGATCATTGTCTTGTTTCTTGCTTCCGCATTTCGGATCCGTTACCGGATCATCCTTTCGGTTCATCACTGACGCACTGGCCTAAAAATCAGGGTCGTCACACACCATCAATCTATTTTTTTAGATCTTCATTCTCTTCTTTTGCCTGGATAAGCTCCTTTGCTAGCTTATTGATTGCCTGTTTGACTTCCATGGTTTCTTTGACCATCTTCTTCAATCTTTCATCGTCCTTTTCAGCCTCTTGCACCTGTTCATCATGAACTTCATTATCTTCGTTATCTGAACTATCAGGGTTAGATAAATGAACGACATGAGGACCTCTATCAAGAAAAGCGACATAAGAAAAATCATTAATATCATCCTGAGGAGAATGATTATCACTTAAAGTAGAATTTTTAGACATAGAAACTTTCATTGCTTTTCCTTTATTTCTATCATTTTGTTCTTTCCTAGAACTAGGACAAACATTGGATGCGTGACCTTTGCCACTACAATTCTAGCAAATAAATTTAGTTTCTTTTGATTCTTTTACTTTCTTTTCATTATACCTAAACTTTGACATTTTGTCAAAATTTTGAGGATTAGCCATGTTGTTATTCCTTCTCCTCTATTGCCTTTACAAAATCTGACTGAATTGCTTTGACAAGAATGCAATATCATCATTAGAGTCGTCATCCACAGAATTCTCAATCTGTGTAGATTTTAGAGCAAATTTTTCTCCTTCTGATTTAAATCTAAGTTCTGCATCTCAAAAGTTTTTAATGAACCTACCATCTCATCAACGTTACAGGTATTCAAATCCCAATGTTCAGTGATGGTTTCAACTCTAATCTGAAATCTTTTAGGTAAAGACCTTAAGATTTTCTCATAGATTTTCTTATCACTAACTTTTTTACCTAAGTGACGTAGTTCAGAAATTAAATCAAGAAGACTAGAATAAAAATTAAAAAATGATTCATCATCTTTCATCACGATGTTCCCAAACTTATGAGAAAGCATCTGAATTTTGGACAACTTCACTTTTGAAGTTCCCTCATGAGTAACCTACAAAATATCCCAAGCTTCTTTAGCTATTTTACAATCAGAAATTCTAGCATATTTAGATGGAACAACAGAATTAATAATTAAATATAAAGCTTTGCTATTAGCATCATTATGCTCAGTTTCAATAGCAGTAAAAACAAAAGTATTTTTTAACTCTTTAACTATTTTACCATCCACAGTTGTATCTACTGTAGGTGGTGTATAGCCAGATTCAACTATTGCCCAAGTTTTACCACCAGAATTTTACAAATAGGCTCTCATATTTGATTTCCAAAAATTGTAATTATCTCCTTCAAATAAAGGACCACGTTGATTAGAACCGCCTTCCTTCAACGCATAAGACATGATTTCGAAAACAATTTTTGAAAAACAAAACAAAACTTTCCAACAAGGATCAACTCAATGTGTAGAGATTTGGCTCTGATACCAGTTTGTCAGTTGTACGCAGCGGAATGTACTAGGAAAGTTTTGATTATTTTAAAACAGATTTATGTCTTTACCAACTTTATTTATTTTAGCAATTAATAAATTAATATCATGCAATATAAAATAAAGCAAAGTAAAGTTAGAGATGACAGCAGGATTTTAGCGAGGAAACCCCAGTTGATAAAATACGTCAACAGTTATGGGAAAAACCTCGTGGACTGTGCAGTCCAAAGTAAACCGATCCACTATGCTTGAAACAAAGTACACTGAACTTTGACTCTGGCTAACACCCTATCGTTCTACTAAACACAAACTGCTAACAATCCTTTGGCTTTGTGACTCGCCGTCTAACAGCAACTTGACCTCAGGCTTACACTTGATATTTGTAGAAGAGTAGCAGGTAGATTAGATAACATTCTTCGAATTCTCCAATCCTTTCGAAGTGTGATCGTTTTTACTTCTATTCTTTAATCGTCTGAACTTCAAGTAGAAGAAGATTTGCTTTTGTCTGATCGATGTAGATACAACTGTATGATCACGATTAGGATTCAAACACCACAACTTTAACTTCACTAGGTGAATATGTGTGTGTTCTAGGAAGATAACAGAAAAATCAACTTTGATTTTCTGAGAGAAATAAACTTCCTAAGGCTTTGTATGATATATGAATATTGATGTAAAGTTGTTAATAAACCTATGTGTATGACATGGTTTATATAGAGGTTTGTAAAGTCTTATTCCTTCTGAAAATAAAGAAAATTTCATGCATAGGACTTGGAAAGAAAGTTGGATAAAAAAGGAATCAGTCAAAATAAGGAAACTGGAAACCTTTTGCAAACAGGACTTTTGGAACCGGTTCCCAATCTTGGTACTGGTTCTTAAATGACAGAAAGAAGTTCTTCAAAATTTAGCTCCTGGAACCGGTTCCTAAACGTAAGTACTGGTTCCCACTTGACAGAATCTATTTTAAACTTGGATTTCTGTTTTTGAAACTTCTGGAAAATATATCATATAGGTATTGTGTCCTAAGTGGGAAACGAAGTCCTAATGTGTTGTTCTTTCTTTTTCAATGATCAACAGTACTTTCCTCTTCTGAACAACCTTTAAATTCCACAGTCGATGTCGATTCGGAGATGGTAACTGAAATTACAACTCAACTAGGACTAGTTTTGTTACCGAAATATGCCAATTACAAAAATATATCTCACAGACTTAGGTATGCTTGTTTGTAAAGAAGCATTTCCCCCTGTTGTTGTTATATATAAGGGTTTTAAAACCCTTATTCAGACCTATCGTATAGATAACTCTTAGAAGGGGGTAAAACGCTCTAATTTTTCAGATCTCTCAAATGGCACTAAGGAATTTTCAAAGGTATCTAAAGTTTAATCTTCTAATCAGGTATGATATCAAAAACCTCACTTTAATTCATGATTAATTTTGATTTCTACATGTTATTTATTATTTAAACCCAATAATTGGTATTAGAGCCAAGTTAGGGTTTGTAGAAATCAAAATAATAAAGATTGATTTATTATATAGCATACTTAAATCTGTGTATTTGAAATCGCACTGATTACCTTTGTGTCCTTGATTTTCGTGGTTGATTAATCATCTGAAAAAAAATTGTGTGTTTGTACTGGCATATGCATATGTAATTGATTCATATTTTTCGTGGGTAAGTAATTGATTCATCTATTTGAAAATACTTTATACAACAAATTCATTGCATGCCGAACGAGAATTTGTTAAGCAATTCGAATCCATTATATCATTGCACACTGAACGAGAATTTTTAAGCATGAATTTGTTATGCAATGTAATCAGTTTGTTTCTTTTCTATGTTGTGCACGCTGAACGAGGAACAAAACAAAGTCAATTAATTTAATTGCGAAATATATACTATATCTAGTATATAGAAAGACATATGCAATGCAATCATTTTGATTCCTTTATATGTTGTGCACGCCGAACGAGGAACAAAACAAAATCAATGAATTTAAATGCGAAACACATATTGTATATAGTATATAGAAAGACATATATGTTTTGAATATTTAATTATTTCTTTAAATTTTTCCATATATGTGAGGTAGTAATTTCATGTATTGTTTATTAATTGCCCACTGACTATTTGATAATAATCCCATATAATGGTGATGAAATTGCATGACCTCATGAGTGTGCTATACATATAATTTTAATGGTGCTATCCAATGCTTTATAATTAATTTATGGTATTTGTTCCATATTTTGGTTTAGTTTATGCACACTAAATAAATAAATTTGAACCTAATTAAAATGGAACTTCTAAAGATATGGTCCTTTATGGTAAAATGACCATTTCAAAAAAAATAATAGTTAAAGTGAGTGATGCCTGCTAAAAAGTAGCACACTCATGGAGGTTATTATTATTATTATTTTTTAAAATTTTAAGGCATTGGTCTTATTGAGGTCTCACATGTACACTTACCTACATGAAGGCATTTGTTCTGCCAAAAGGTGATCAATGCCTTAGTGTGGGATAAGTGAGTAGAATATTTGAGACTGTTTGGATTATAACTAAATAACCCTTTTGCCAAAAGGTAGTGGAAGTGTTTAGCAACGATTCAAGTATAATCAAATAGGTTTATGTGCAATTTGATCGCAAGTTTGGAAGTAAAATAAAAAATCTAAACTTCTGCCAAAAGGTGATTTTAGATGGCATTTTATCTGTTCCCGCAGGGTGGATGAGTTTTGCATATAGTAAAACATCCTGAGAAATTCGGCTTAAAACCCTAAGCGTGAATTAAAGTAATAATCCCTAAAACTGTGACATATTATTTTATATGTTGTTCATTTTTTTTGTTATTTGATATAACATGTATTACAGTTATGGACGCTTTCGCTATTTAAAGACAGCTCACAGGGATTGAACCATTGAATGGTTCAAACTATACTACTTTTAGGACAAGTGTTGATATTATGTTGGGTTTCTTAGACTATGAGTTAGTACTTTATGAGGAGAAACCTGTTACAATCACTGAAGAGTCTTCTGAAGAAGTGAAGTTGTTGTATGCTAAATGGACTAAGGCTAATACCATGGCCATCAGGTTGATCCGTGCTTCTATTGGTGAGATTATTTGTGGTGGTATTCCTGTATTTGATACTGCCAAAGAGCTTCTTGATTTAATTAAGAAGAAGTTTATGGGTACCAAGAAGCAACTTCAGTATTATTATCTGACACAATTTATGTCAACCAGTTATGATGGCAGTGGTTCAGTAAGGGAGTACATTTATAAGATATGCAAGCTGGTTAATGGTCTCAGGGAGTAGGGAATCAGATTTAATGATGAGTTATTGGTCTACATGGTGATCTATTCTCTGCTTAGATCTTTTGATGCTTTCAGTGTAAATTATAATTCACAAGAGACAAAATGGGACATTAATCAGCTATTAATTCTTTATGTGACCGAGGAAGAATGGCTCAAGGGTGCTAAATTTAAGTCAGCTCATCTTGCCGTAAGCATTAGAAGCAGGAATAACTTCAAGTGGAAAGACGGCAAGAAAAGGAATCAGGCAATTAAGAAAAATGGAAAGCAGGATAACAAAGGAAAAGACATTGATTATGCAAATGCGAATGATGAATGTTGGTTTTGTAAGAAGAAATGACATCAAAAGAAAGACTGTTACAGCTACAAAAATTGGTTAAAGAAAAATAAAGCAGGTATGAGAGTTGCTAGGGTAATATTTGAATCCAACTTAATAAATGTGCCTAATCATACATGGTGGATTGATACGGGTACATTTATTCATATCTCTTGTTCATCGCAGGGACTTCGTAGCCAGAGAAAAACCCAGGTCTGAGGAGAAATTGGTGTTGGGTAATGCTGATGCGGTTCATGTTGCTGCTGTTGGGATGATTATGCTAGTGTTACACACTGTTTTTCCTTAGAGCTTCAAGATGTTGTTTATGTTCTTACTATTAGGCGTAATTTACTTTCAGTTTCAAGACTTAATGTTTTGGGTTTTCGCTTTTCTTTTGGTGATGGATCAATTACTATTCATTATAGTAATAATATAGTTGGACATGGTTGTTTAATTGATGGTTTATATCAGTTATTGTTAAATGATTCTCATATACATGTTTTTTGTTTTTCTGTGGATTCGATACCTTCCGATCAAATCGTACTTTTATTAGAGAGGATTCATCTATGTTGTGGCATAAGAGATTGGGGCATGTCTCTCGAAAGAGACTGGAACGTTTGGTCAAGGATGAGATTATAGGACCACTAAATTTTTTAGATTTTGATTTATGTGTTGACTATGTCAAGGGGAAGATGGAGAAGAAATGCAACTTTGAGGTTAGTCGGTCATCTATTCTTTTGGACCTTATTTACACAGGTATTTGTGGTCCATTTCCTACCATTTCTCGAGGAGGACAAAGGTATTTTATTACCTTTATTGATGATTTCTCAAGGTATGTTTATTTGTACCTAATACACCAAAAGTTTGATGCACTTAACATGTTTAAGATCTATCAGACTGAAGTTGGAAAATAGTTAGGTAAAAAGATTAAAATTGTAAGATCGGACCGAGGTGGTGAGTATTATAAGATAATGGACCAGGAGGGTATGAATCATGGTCCTTTCATCACGTACTTCAAGGAACAAGGCATAGTGCCACAATATACCACACCTGGTTCTCCTGAACAAAATGGAGTTCCAGAGAGGAGAAACCGCACCTATCAAGATGTTGTTCGCAGTATGATGAGTCATTCTTCACTACCTGAGAACTTTTGGGGAGAAACTCTTAAAACGGCAGTTTATATTCTTAATAGGGTGCCATGTAAAGCAGCTCCTGAAATACCCTTCAAGCTTTGGACAGGTCGTAGACCTAGTCTTTGACATTTGTATGTGTGGGGATGTCTTGCAGAGGCAAAGTTGTATAATCCTGATATTAAGAGGCTTGATCCTCGCACTGTTACTTGTCATTTCATTGGGTATCCTGAGAGATCATTTCATTATAAATTTTATTGTCCCTTTAGACCTATGAAGATTGTTGAGACAAGTTATGCAAAATTTATTGAGAATGGCGAATCCAGTGGGAGTTTGGATCATCGTACTTTCGGTAATACCCCTAATTTTAAAAGGATAGTCTCAGTATTTATTTATTTATTTTAATTACAATTTTTTTAATTGTTTAATTGATTATTGACTAATTGCTTATGTGTTTAATTGAATTAAATGTTACTTAATTAATTAGCTATTTGTCTATGTGTTATTTGTATTATTTGTTTATTAGATTATGTGCTTAAATGATGTGTTTAATTAATTGTACATTAAATGTTCTATTTTATTTTATTTTATGGTTATGGTTAGTAATAATGGGCCAACTAATTAGGTTGTATGGACTACTTGGATAGGAGGTTTAATGAGAATGGATAATTACCCATGGACAATTGTATATGTATATATATATAGATATATATGTATATATGGCGTCATCGTGAACCAACAAGTTAAAATGTGTTAAAAAGTGGCCAAGTTTGAATTTGTAAAGTGCCACTACTACCTCTAACTACTAATATAGCTAGGGTGAGTAGGGATCGTCCCAAGGGAAATGAAGCAATATTGATATGGAAATAACGTTGGACTAGTAGGTCAAGTGATCAAAGATGTTTTGATTGATTAATTAAACTACAATGTTAAATAAATTCAATACAAAGCAATTAAAGTAAATAAATGGTAGAGAATAAGAGAGAGGGATTTTGGGACTTAGAGGTCACCACTAAACATCACCTTTCTAGACACTTAATGTGTAATGAATGAGGGAAAATATATGTTGCAATACTAATATGTGTGATTAATTGAATAAACTAGTATGAATGACTAATTAAGTATACATTGTCTAGAGAACCTAATGCATTCAAAACACAATCAAAACACATTAACAAGCTAGAGAATTGTACTACTTGCATTCATAAGCATGGAACATCAAATAACAAGCATGGATTGTCCTCCCTTCTAAGAAAGTAAGGCAACTACATTACAACTAAACTAGGGACATGAAAATTAAACTAATTAAATTAAGGTAGAGGCACAATCCATCAATAAATGAGTATGAACCATCAAACAAACCACAAGAGCATTCCATTAAAGCACCATGCCTTGACAATATCTAGATTCATAGCATCAATACACATAGACATGCATCAATAACACAAAACCTAGAGATAAACACATGAACATCTATTCTTGCATACATAGACATATTAGTAGAATGAAATGATCAATTGGAAGTATTAAACAACACAAATCATTGTAGAAACAAGATTCATATATAAATCAAATGTCAAGACAAAAATTACAACACAAATCCCCTCAAAATACAAAACATCAAGATCTAGAAGGTATGCTTAGGGCTGGCTCTAGCCCCAAGAAGATGTTTAGCCACTCATTGATGTAGTCATCCAACGCTTAAGGGACATCTCCATGGTAAGAATGATTTTCTTCTTGATGGAAACCTTAGATGAATGGAAGAACTGCCAAATGGTGTGTATCTCTCTAATCTCTAGACTCCTCTAACCTCTCTCTCCAAGATTGTATATATCTCTTCATGTAAAAATGGCACAAAATTCTTATATAGGTAGCTTAAGTGTCACACCCAATGGTCAGGCCTCATGCACTAGGGCCCCTTCAATGATTGCATCACGAGCTATCTTTTAATGAGCTGGACTCTATTTTTTTTTTGAACTTGAGGGGGTTCGATCGATCGAAGTTTTGTGAGATCGATTGAACCATGGTGGCGCCTTTTGGAATATTGACAGATCTGAGATATTTTTGGGATATTTTGGGAAAAAAACAAAAGTGGTAGGTGGGGATAAGATCAAAGAAGTTCGATCGATCAAAAGGATGTTGGATCGATCGAAGATAGAAATTCTTGGGGAGAAGGATAAGAGGCTCGATCCATCTTGATAAGGCTGGATCAATCACTCTGAGATTGATCGAAGATTTGTATGATTGATCAAAACTTGCTGTTTTCCACCACTTTACTTCCACTTTGCTCATTTCTTCCATTTAACTTGAGATTGCTTCTTTTATACTCTAATTTGGCTGAATTGATTTATTTTGGGGATAGGTGCCTGAAAAGGGCAATAACACGAAATTAGTTTAAAATGAAAAAATAAGATAGATAAATGTCCTAGAATACTCGAGCTTAAGGGGCTTAAATACGCACTTTTCAGCGCTCATTACACCCCCAAACTTAAATATTGCTAGTCTCTAGCAATGAACTACAAAGCAAAGGAATGAAATGAACAACTATACAACTATAGCTAGAAAGCAATGAAATGATAACACCACTTTCGTAGGGAACACGATTGCATTTAGCATATGCAACAAGCCTTTTAAACCCCTAGGTTACCTCTAGTGGACGAGTGAAGTCTCGTGAGGGTTTCCAGAAATGATACCCACAAACATAAAGCTCATTCTCACAAAAGAGGCACCAATATTGCAAACAAGCATTAGGAGAAAACTATCTCAAGTATGTAAATTTTCAACCATTTTAAAGCAATCTTCCAAAATTTCAACATCAAGCGAACAAGTATGGTCTTCCACACATCAAGAAAATGATCATGCAAATCAAAACAACTCTAGAATTCTTTTTAAGTGGACCGGCATCAAGTATGTTGCTATCTAAGCCAAGTGGAGAAATGATCACATTCTTACCCTTAAACTAGCACACAAATCTAGTACTGATCATCAAGACAAATAGTGGATATTTTATTAAAGCTTTATTGATCTAGGTGCGCTTCTTCTTTTCACTCGAATTTTTTTTTTTTTTCCTAATCCTAAGGATCAAAGATGGAAGCATAGTGTAATGTGTTGATCTATTAAGCTTTTAAGCGATCCATAAGGTCGAGCGTTAGGTTAATGACTCCCAAACTGAATGGCTTTAGGGCATTAGGTGTTCAAACACCCCTAAGCAAGCTCAAATCAACTAGGCTACAAATCAAAACAACATCCATCTAATCATTTCCCACTTCTCACCTTTTGGGAGAAGTCCTCACTTTTTTATTGCTTTTGCAACTTTTTCTTTTTCTTTTCTTTTCTTTTTTTTCTTTTTTTTTTTGTCAATTTATTAACCTAGAGTTTGGGCCCTCCACCTTTCGACGTGAGAAATTCAGTGCTTGATGATGCTAGAATCCTGGCTACTTAATAAAAAAGGTTTGTTATCCACCTTTATCAAGAATGAAAGCTTTTAATGCACTACTAGCTCAATTGGGATATAACCAAATGAATAATCAACAAAGCATGTACCCCACAAATGAATGC